CACACAGATAAGTTGTTGATGTCAAGAGAGGTGGTTCGATTTCAACTCCCAGGCCTGGAGACGTACATGGAGAGATGTCTTAAATGGTAGCTGACGAGGTGTGTTTGCTGTCCTTAATTCCTCCTGAGGATTCTTTCCAGGGGGAATTGGATCACATAGCAGGATTGCAACGCCATGCTAAGATGTCTCAGAAATCAGATTCTCATGGATGTGAAGCACTGCCCTCCCCTACCAACTGGTACTGTTTGCAGATAAGGTTCATGTAAAGAAGTCTATCATTCCAGGAGAAAGCATTTTCAATCATGTCAATAATAGCTGTTCAACTAATGCACATTTTCCTAAAATATTTGTACATTTGCAACTTGGGACATATTTGTGCTTTTCAGCATTAGCATTTGATTAGCCAACAAATAGCACCACTGCAATCAATAATGCATTTATTTGGCAGATTATTTTGATTTATTCAATTTGTTCCCTATAATCAAACCCCATGATCTTGACATTGTTAGCAACAAGCTCTACTAGTTGAGCTATTTTTCAGTCCCACTTGCACAAGATTTAGTCCCGCTCCTGCCACGTTTTGCCCCACTCCCACCCACAAAAGCCCAGAGAAAGAGGTCTATGCAGATTTTTAGTTCCGGTCCGCTTTGGATATCAAGTGCCAGACTTGTGTGTGTTGGATGTTAGCACCTTATTGCATTTGTTGCTGCAGGCAAAATAAATGTTTTCCATCGCTGATGCATACTGTATAATCAAAAACACTGAGAATATCCATCCATGTTCCTGTAAATCTTTTTTTTTTTTTTGCACAATAGATGAATAATGTGAGTAACATTATGTACCTTAAAACATAAAATAAATTTGAGTGACTTCTATTTTACTGTTAGATATTTATCAAAAAAATTAATTATGTCCAATGTGTGATTTTTTTCTCCTGCTTTCCTTGCACATCAGCATCTTCCCTCCAGCATCCCCACTCAGGAATTCAGTTTGTGTAGGGGTATATCCCTCAAAGTTGATGCTTAAAAAAACACACAAAGCAAACATGACGTAATCCATACAACCCCAGCTGATTAATCAATTCTAAAGCAAAACTTTAAGTATGTGTTAGAAAAATACTCATATTTTAAAATGTTTAAACTATAAACAATTGCTTCCAGGAAACTGTCAAATGTAGGCTGATGAGTTCACATTTGACGTAAACACCAGCACACTGTGAAGTGTGACGTAATGTATAGTTATGTCACGTATAGTTATGCGAAATTACAGAGGATTGTCACTTCTCACAAAAGTTTTACAATGAGCTTATATAATGTCCATGTAGCGTGATTTTTGAAACATCAATTTTGCGGGTTCCATCCATTATCCATTAGCATTATATTGACTCAAAGAGTTGATTTTTCTAAAAATCTGTTTGTGTTCCACAGAAGAAAGTAAGTCATATAGATCTGGAACAGCATCTAAATAAACGATGAAAGAATTTTCATTTTTCTTGGACTACCCCTTATATTAGTTAAGCTATTGAAATGCATAACCTTGGTGATAACGGCCTGAAAACCACAAACGCCATGGCAACCTCTATGGAGAGTGACTGGAAAATGTTGAAGGCTGAAACAGCATTACTAATGATTACATCAGTGCATGAGTCACGGCACTGCTTTACTCAGGTGTCAGTGGCACCCAATGTGGAGCCATCTGTCCTGTCCTCCTGGACTCGCAGCACCCTGTCCCTGTGCTCCAGTGCCATGCCACACTGCACCACACACCACAGTATCGTGATTTCAGACACAGAAGGCCCCCGACAATACTGCCTGCATCCTCAGAACAGTCCATCAAACTGAATTCCAATCAACTGCAACCATCAAAGCTTGCAATATTAGGTACTGCACTGCTATCATTCATTCATGAACAGTCAGTTATGAATTGACAGTGTTTCATATCTGAAATAGTTTAAAGCAGAAGCCACTAGCATCACCAAATGGAATTACAAAAATAAATGCAGCAATGTTTGGATGTTTACAGTGTACACTTTTTATGGATAATAAAGGGATAGTTCGCTCAAAAATGAACATTCTGTCATCATTTACTCACCCTCATGTTGTTCTAAACCTGTATGACTTTGTATTTTGAAATATTTTCAGAAATGTGCTGCCCATACAATAAAAGTCAGTGGGATTAGTTTGGACCCCAAAATTATTCAAAATATCTTCTTTTATGTTCTGCAGAAAAAAAGTATACAGGTTTAAAACATGAGGGTGAGTAAATGATGACAGAATGTTTATTTTTAGTGAATTAACCATTTAACCTACAACTAACTGTCTTTTTTTTTTTTTTTTTTTACAAATCCAAGCATTTTCAAATCCAAAAATGACACTACAGCTTGAAAGAAAACGTCCAACTCCACCAGTCATTCTTTTAATATATTGTTGTCTTGTGAGAACTAGTTATTAGTGCCAAGCCACACAAGGACCCACATGGCACAGTCAGTCCACCCCCATCACAAGACTCAGGGTTCACAGTACGGGCCATTGTCCATTCACAGTCAGCACTCCTTCACGTTAGCCAGCCTCTTCAAACCACCACACTGTATCATCAGATGGGCTGACACAGACCTGACCAGAACAAACATCTGCGTCTTCGCAGTGTGTCCGTATTTTAATTGAAACTTTGCACCAGCATACCTTATTTATCTTAAACAAACAAACAAACAAATAAATAATATCCAATTTAACAGAAACAATTTAACAGACAGATTCATCTACCTTCAAATTGTCTATTCAACGAATTCTTATAGAAATATATGTGTGTGTATATATATATATATATATATATATATACACACAATATATATCACACACACACACACACACACACACACACACATATAGATAGATAGATAGATAGATAGATAGATATTTGTGTGTGTGTGTGTTTTGAGGTTTTCACAAAAATGAGTTTGTTAAGCTCTTGTCTAGGGCTATCTGATGTGAAACATTATATTATGTCCGCGCATTACAGTAGGTCTTAATATATAGGCTGTCTCTCTCATTAATGTTAATGAAACAACAAAAGAAAAGAGGGAATCACTCATTGCTCTTGATTGAACTACTTTATTTGTAATGAATACACTAAAGATTATATAGTAATTTTTACATTTGATTATTTTTCTTACTTGAATGATTTAACTGTTTATTTGCATCTTTGTTTTTATTTAAAAAAAAAAACTATGATTAATATAGTAATTATTATTATTAATGAAAGAATTCTATCGACTTCAAACAGGTGTAGCTCAGTCATTTATTTATTTTATTCATTTATTTATATATATATATATATATAT